CTGGCAGGTCGATGTTGGTCGCTTGCATGGCCGCGATGCACGCAGCTGTGGTGGCTGCCTGGTCTCCTCCCGCTGGTGCCGTGCTTGATGCTGGCTTGGCGGGTCCTCAAACTTGTGTTGGGGCTGCTGGAACATCCTGAGCCCGAGCTGGTGACTGCTCCTCCATGTGTGCGTCCTCATCGTCCTCCTCCTCCTCCTCAAGGCGCTCGAAGTTTGTCAGCAGGTCCTCCACCTTCTGCACATCCTCGAAGAGCGCCCGGATGAGGGCGACGGCCTTCTTGTGTTCGTCCAGCGCTTGGTTTTCTGCCCAGTGGGCATCACGCAGGCGCTTCCTGATTATGTCTACTTGTGCCTTCTGCTGTTCTGTGCGAGTATGTGGCCCCTGGCATTCATGATCATGTAGAGGGTGACTGAGTAGTCTTGCTCGAGCTCGGTGATGCGGGCAGAGCGGTGGCCTACATGGTAGGCGCTCTTGCCCTGCTTCTCAAATCCGTCAAGGCTGATCTTCAGCTGGTCGCGGTGCGCGATGATGCCCTTCTTCGTCGTAGACATCGGCAGCCACAGCCGATGTTTCATGGCTTCATCTGGCTGCGCTTGCCTGGGAAGCGGTGGTGTGAGATCCTCTCTCGCACGCTTGTCTGGAGCATGAGCGGACCTGGTACGTCTCGGGTGCGGTCTTCCTCCTGCCTCTTCTTGCCACAATTGTCCTTGTTGCGCCCAGCTCTCTGACAGTTGTGGCTTTCTCGTGCGAGACTGGTAGATCCATGGCAGCGTCGATTCAGCTTCATCTGGAACTGAATATTTGCTAGTGTCCGGCGCTGGACGACAGAATCTGCATATCTTGTTGGAGTAGATGTTGGTTCGCTGGCATGTGTTGCATGTCCGATGTTGTTTCTGGCGAGCGTGTAGCTTGATGATTGGACTGCGTCATCGAGCTGTGATGTTGGTCGAGCAAGTCTTTGGCTGCCTCGACTTTGAGGAACGCTCTCTGGCTTGTATGTGCGGCACGAGGTGGCACGTTGTGGCACGGTCGTCCAGACGCTGGAATGGTGGGTCGGCGCGTCTTGCGGCAGTCCCGAGAGGCTCGCAGACCCCTGGGACTTTCACCCAAAGCTTCGGGCTGGGACGGCAGTTGGAGGAGGGAGGAGGGAGTGGGGGGCGGAGGAGGAGGAGGAGGAGAACGACCACGGTGGCGACGACAAAGTCGACAAGGTCGACAAAGACGACAAAGACGACATGGACGACATAGACGAGGACCAAGCCGAGGACGGCGACGAGGACGACGAGAACGACGCCGACGACCACGATGACGGCGACGCGGCTGCCTCAGACTCCGCCGCCAGCGCGCCGAGCGCCGCGCGGCCCAGCGGGCGCTGCCCCCGCCGCGGCGGCTCGGCCCCGCCGAGCGCCGACGGCTCGGACCCGCCGCGGCGCGCGCGGTCGCGTCGGCCACACGCAGGAGGGACCCTTCGCCGGAGTGATACTTGGCAGAGCGGCAGGAAGGATAACATGAGAAGGGAGGAGGGGAGACAAACAAGAAAGGAAGCACGTGCACTGTCAGGAAGCTGCTGCGTGCATCCGTCGAGCACATGCCCACCGCCGAGGCCCCCGGATCGCGGACTGCGGTGCGGCAGCAGCGGCCTGCGCGCCTGGGCGCTGCCCCCTCGCGCCCCCCAGAAGCCACGCACGGAAGGCCACTCTTGTCTATGGGTCACTCTTGCGTGCAGCCGGTCGCAGTCGATCGCGCGCGCGGTCGCTCAGCGCGCGCGCGCGGGCTGCTCGGCCGATGTCGCAGGCTCCGACGGGGGGGGGGGGGCTCTGCGGTCGGGAAGCTGTGCGCAGCGTGTGGCGCCGCCGGTTCTGGCCCACCGCGCTTCGGCGCGACGCGCTGTCCACTTCCCCGGCCCCCAGGCTTCGACGTCCCGGGCCTCTCAGAGCCTGGCGCCCCGCGGCGGAGCGACACGCCATCCGCTCGCAGGGCACACTGTGCAGCTGGGGCCGCCGCCGCGACACGCTGTCCAAAGGTTCCTGATCGTAACAGGCGCCGCCGAACATTGTCATCGATTCCTCCAAGGAAGCCCCTCGAGAGGGCCAAAGGAGGCCCCAAGAGCGCATCGAGGACTCCCAGCTCCAAAGGCCTGCCCACCCCGACAGTCCGCAGGAGGCGCCTGTACATACGCTCTCCATGAAGCAACTGGGGTCCTGAGGTGAGGGGAGGCGGGTCCTGAGAGTTTTGGCCGTCCTCGGGCTCCGGGGGGCCTCCCCGGGCCTGTCAGGTCGGCCGCACGTGTGACCTTTCGCTGGAGTGACCATCGGTGCGGGCCCACTGGGCCCCTCGATCGCTGAATGCGATGCGATATCAGCGGCCTGCGCGATGGCGTTTGGCTCCCCGCGCGCCCTCGAAGGCCGTGCACCGGAGGTCGCTCCTGCCTGGGGCTACTCATTGCGTGCAGCCGTCAGAACACGGCTCAGGACGAAGAGCTGGTCTCGCCGGAAGGCCCGAGGACCCAGGGCGCGTTTCCCTCGGGACCCGCCTGCTGCATGCCCGACACGCGTCCTGTACGTATCAAACCCTTCCCGGGCCTCTGGGGACGCCCTCGTGGCCACGGCCCGATCCACCCCGAAATTCTCATCGGGACGCACCCCAGGACGGGTCTGGGGGCCCAGGGAACCAGCATGCGCAGCAGCAGGCACCCATACACCACCGCGCAGGGCCGGTGCCAGGCGTGGTGGTGGTGGTGGTGTGCAGGGGTGCCTTTCTGCGCAGGCAGCCCCCGCAGGGGAGAGGAGGAATGTGGGGTCCCTGCGGCGCGTGCTGGGGCCTCGGCGGGAGGGGGGAGGAAGGCGGTCGCTCTGGGCGTGCTGTCGGGGCGTTTTCGGGAGGCCCGCGTCGCAGCTGCTGGGGCACGGCGCGCGAAGCTCGCCAGGAGGGGCCCCGGAGGGGGTCTGTGGGGCTGGTTCTGGGCGGATGTCGGTCGGGGGGCGGGCGGGGAGGGCGGCCTTCGGAACGGGCCGGGGATGTCTTCGAAGGGGCCGGAGGTTTCGAAGCAGGCGTCCAAGAAGCCCCTGGCCCTCCCAGCCCCCCCCCCCCCCCCAATCGCCCCACCCTCCTCTGCGCGCCGCCAAGAGTCTTCGCCGAGAAGCCGA